CATAATTCATAGCGATGTACAAATTGCTGAGAAAAGTAAGCTTATGGTATCGAGAAAAGTAAGCTTAGCAGTTTTATTTCACTTCCAATGACAAAGATTTTAATTCAATTCTCACACTTGCTGTGAGGATCTGTGAAGGCAATGTTCTGAGGTCGGGTGCAGCTGTGGGTCACATTGTCATGAAGGCATGCTTGTGGAAACCCCTAAATGGGAGAGAGAACATTTTAGAGATTATCTGCAACTGCAGTGTTTCCTAAACTACACAGGTCAAATAGTCAGTGGATTGTTTGTTAAATAGATCCCCAAACGCAGGCAAGCATACTCAGTTCATTTCCCCAGTGTAGAGTCCTAACAAATCGAATTTTCCCCATATAGTTTAGATGATCGAGCCAGTTGGAAAGCTGGGATTGGGCTCTCTACTTTGGCAGAGAAGCTCTTCTTCATTGATGCTTTCAGTTACCACCATACTGGGTTTCCTTTGTTTGTTTGCTTGTTTGATTTCCATTTTTGCTGTATAGATAGTATGTATTCTATTGAGCACTAAGGTGTACCAAGAGCCTGAGTCCTACCAATTTGAGTTAGGCTGCTGAGTTAGGCTGTTCAGTGCAATTTACTAGGTATTCTCAACATGGCAATCAGCAGCAAAGTGGGATCTCTTTGATTCAGAGGTTCCTCAAAGTTGCAATGAGACCATGTTGAAGGAAATTACATTATTTGAGATATTGAGGATTTGCTATATTCTGTGTTGAAACAAAGGTGTAAAAGTCTTTAAAACTATAGCTTTGGAACAAGGGGCAGATATCTCTCTTATTTCTGTACTATAAGATAACACTGTAGACCATAGACTGGGTGGCTTATAAATATAGAAATTTATTTATCAGTTATGGGGACTAGAAAGTCCAAGCATAAAGTGCATGTAAAACATAATATATGGTAATGTCCATTTATTTTTCACATCACTGATGGCAGAAGGAGCAAGGATGCTCTCTTAGGTCTCTGCTATAAGGATGTTAATCCCATTAATTAGGGCACTACTGTTGGACCTAATAAGTTCCCAAAGTTCCCCCTTTCAAATGCCCTCAAACACTATGGATTAGGTTTCAACAAATGGATTTTCAGAAGTACATATTTCAAATATGACATGTACTTTGCTGTTTTCAGCAAGCCTGATTCACCGCTATTATTCAATATAGTATGGAAAGTATTTCTCATAGAAATTGGGTAACCATAAGATATTAAAGGCATCCAGCTTGGAAGAATAAAAAGTCAAACTAGAAAGACTCTATAATGCTCCTAGAAGAAACTTGTACAGTAACGTAGAAGGCGACAAAACCAGTACATAGAAATCAGTGACATTCTTGTATGCATAAAACTAAATAGAAGAGAGATGTTTTTTTATAAAATGCCATTCACAATTGTACCAAAAGACACCAAGTACCTGCAAATCAGCTAAACACAAAAAGTGCAAGATTTACATAGAGAAAACTATAAATCACTGACAGAAGAAATAAAAGAGACAGGCACTGGAAACATTCCCTGTACATGGATTAGAAAGATTTATATTGTCAAGATGACAATCATATCGAAAACAGTATGCAAAGTCACTGACATTCCTGTAAAAATATTCACAGCATTTTAAAGAACATAGACCAAATACCACTAAAATTTAAATGGAGTAAATAAAACACCACCACCCCAACTCATCCCCTGGGAATTACAAAACAATTCTAAGCTAAAATGGAAAGCATTACTTTTCCTGACTCTAAACTATACTAGAAAGTTAGAATTTTAAGAACAATGTGGCACTGGCATAAGGATAAACTGTGAGAACAGTGGAATAGAATTTAAGGTTAGAGACAGGTCTGCAGGTGCATGGAAAGCTAAATTAAAGGAGCTAGGAATAGGGAGTGAAGCAAGGGAAGCCTTTGCAGTAAATGGTGTTATAAAAATTGGTTGGTTCCATGTAGAATCACAAACTCTGACCTCCTGTCTCACATCACACACAAAATCAATTCAAACTGCATTAAAGACCTTGGTAATTGACCATAATCCTTAACTTATATTGAGAAAAACATAGAAAAAATTTAATTACATTAAAGTTTAGGGGCATCTACAAAACTTCAGTGCCTTTAACAAAGGAAATAAAAGCAGAGATAAATAGGACTACATCAGACTAAGAAATTTCTGCACCACAAAAGTAATGATGGCCAGAATAAAAAGATACCCTATAGCTTGGAGAAAATATTTGCCTACCACTCATTTGTCAGCAGAAGGTTAATATGCAAGATTTATAATGCACATATGAAACTTCACATAAAAAAAACAACCCCATCAAAATTGAGGAGTGCTTCTCCAAAGAAATACAAATGACTAACTGTAGCACTGTAGCACTGTTGTCCCGCTGTTCATTGATTTGCTCCGGCAGGCACCAATAACGTTTCCATTGTGAGACTTGTTGTTACTGTTTTTGGCATATTGAATATGCCACCGGTAGCTTGTGGTAGCATGCTGGGCTAATTAGTATATAAAAATTACCTTATTCAGGAAATTCCAAATTCAAACAATGTTCATCACCTCATACCAGTGACACTGGCATACATTTAAAAAAAAAAAGAACAAAACCAATCAGTGTTGGAATGGAATGTGGGGAAAAGAGCCCTTGTCCACTACTGGTGGAAACGTCAACTGGTTCAGGCATTTTAGAAAACAAAATGGGCACTTCTTAAAAACATAAGGATTGAGCTTCCATATGATCAAACAATTCAACTTCTTGGCATATATCTTGAGGGCCAAACAAAAACAAACAAAACACCCAAACCTCCAAAACCCCAAATCTCTCAAAAAGACAATTATGCTCCATGTTCATTACAGCGCTATTCACAGTAGTGATAATCTGGAAACAACCCAAATGTCGAAGATCAGAATACCGGTTAAGGAAACTGTGGTATATATAAATAATAAAAAACTACTTAGCCATAAGAAAAGATGAAATTATGTAATTTTCCACTATGTGGTTATAACTGGAAAGTCTTGTCTGAGTGACGTCTTTCAAGAGGAGTGGGGCACATACAGAATGATCTCTCATGTGTGAAATATAAAGAAGAATAGTGAAGGATCACAAATGACCAAAGGCAACAACATCTGCAAACTGTTCTACAGTCTGAGTTTACCAAGACGGGGGCTGTATGTATAATAGGTTGAGTAGGGATCACTCTGGTGGAGGGTGTAGTGTTGGAACATTTTATCCATGAAGCCCTGTCATAAATAGTATTGTACATCACAGTGACTGAAGAATAAAACAAGGAAAGCCTCTTTCATTCAACATGAATGAGTTTCAAAACAGAATCATGATCACTGTTTACCTGTGTGTGTTTTTTTTCCTGACAGTGCTGTTCCTTTTTTGTTTGCTTGTTTTAAAGTATGTGATGCACATTCATGTCACAGTTCCACTCCATTAGTAGTTCTCTCAGCACATCTGTCTTATATCATCTCATTTTATTCTATTGTTGCATCTCTTTGTGTAAAATACTTCATGGTTTGATTAATGAATTACTCTATGGTGTTTAAAAACCTAATTAAGAATAACGTTGACATTTGGTTTATGAGAAATCATTTTATAGACTATTTTATAATTGATTATAGATATGATCTAATGTCCTTATTGAGGCTAATTGTAAATTGTGACTACTAGTGTACCCAGGGTGGTCAAAAACTAGCTGAAATTAACATTTGAAATATAATCTTTAGTTACTGTTTACTACAACTGGCCTGAAATTGTAGATAAACTATTCTAATTTATTTCTTTAGAGAAATTAGAGAAACTGATCGGGAAGCATCAGTTACTTAAGGAAAATAAAATGTCCCACACTAATGCCTCTGAAAATTAGATGAGGAAAAATTGCAGAAGAGAGTTGAAAAGATTCAATCACACAACAATTTATTTTTATCAATCAATACTGCTCAAGACTTTCCAGTGCTTAGCAAGTTATCATAATCTAAGGATTGTTTATTAATGTAATGTTTTTCTTTTTTTTCTATTTAAACAAGTTAAAAATTCTGGTGATCCTTTATATTGCTTTTGGGAGTTGAGCCTCTTCTTTCATTAACCAGTGTGTAATATACTAGCTTTTGTTTTGAAAAATGTATATAAAATTCTATTGTTTTATCAAGGGCTGGAGTGATAGCACAGCAGGTAGGGCATTTGCCTTGCATGCGGCCCATGCGACCCAAGTTCGATTCCTCTGCCCCTCTCTGAGAGCCCAGCAAGCTACCGAGAGTATCTCACCTGCACGGCAAAGCCTGGCAAGCTATCCGTGATGTATTCGATATGCCAAACATAGTAACAACAAGTCTCACAATGTTACTGGGCCCGCTTAAGCAAATTGATGAACAACAGGAGAACAGTGAAGTGAAAGTGTTTTATCAATCAAATATGAATGTCATTGTCTCATAAATAATTTATGATAAATCATTCTCAGGGCCAGAAAGATGGTACAACAGGCAAAGCATTTGCCTTACATACAGCTGACCTGGTTCAATTCCCAGCACGCCATCTGGTATTCTTAACCCTGCTAGAAGTGATCCCTGAGTGCAGAAAACAGGGAATCAGTCCTGAGCACCATTAGGTGTGGCCAAAAATAGAAAGAAAAAAAGAAATTATACTCAGTTACACTAATCTAACCCCAAGTAGTCTAATCCCTGTGGAATAAAGTCAGTATGAAATTCCCATTAAGTAACTTCTTTTGAATTTTTATGTTCTTTAGAAATATTGCATTCTAGAGTGTTCATCTCTGTAAAACTAAGATGTTATACATAATACTGTTGACCGATCAAGATCCTTGGAAAAAAACTGTTAGTTTCATTAGACTGAGCATTCTTATTTACATCCTTAGGTTCGTTTCTATGTATTAAGAGCATTTCCTGTTTGAGACAGACGGATGAACAGTTTCGACATGAATACTAAGCCTTTTCCCTTTTCCCCAACCCTGGTTTTGTTGCAGAAACCCTGGAAACTCTCATCAGACAAGCAGAGAATTATACCAGCATCCTTTTCTGCAACACTTACAGGAACATGGCTCTGGAGGCAGCTGCTTCAGTTCAGGAGTTCTTCTTGGATGTCGGACTCTATTTATTTGGTGCTGACGTTAATCCTGAAGAATTTATAAACAGATTCTTTGACAGTCTTTTCCCTCTCGTGTACAACCATCTCCTTGAGCCTGGTGTGACTGACAGCTCTCTGGAATACTCAGAATGCATCCGAATGGCCCGCCGGGAGATTAGTCCATTTGGGAATGTTCCCAAAAGAGTCCTGGGTCAGATGGGGCGGTCGCTGCTGCCCAGCCGCACATTTCTGCAGGCACTAAATCTGGGTATCGAAGTCATCAATACCACAGATCACCTGCATTTCTCCAAGGAGTGCAGCAAAGCGCTCCTGAAGATGCAGTACTGTCCCTACTGCCAGGGTCTGACTCTCAGTAAACCTTGCATGGGCTACTGCCTCAATGTCGTGAGAGGCTGCTTGGCGCATGTGGCAGAGCTGAATCCTCACTGGCACGCATACATCCGGTCCCTGGAAGAACTGTCCAATGCCATGCACGGAACCTATGATATTGAACACGTGCTGCTGAACTTCCACTTGATGGTTAATGACGCTGTGATGCATGCTCAAGTCAGTGGACAGCAGTTATTGGAACAGGTAAGAAGCCGCTTCTGGTTCCTTGTTTAACTTTTAGTACTCAGGTATGATTCATGCACAGGAAAGTTTGTTGACTATTTTAATGTCCATTGCTGTGGACTTTACAATTATAACTGCTTTACAAGCACAAAATTTTTCAAACTAGTAGGAGAACACAACTGGTACATTATTCAATTAAACATTAAAAAAATATTTCATACCAAACATCTGCACAATGGAATACTATGCAGCTGTTAGAAAAGATGAAGTCATGAAATTTGCATATAGGTGGATCAACATGGAAAGTATCATGCTAAGTGAAATGAGTCAGAAAGAGAGGGACAGACTTAGAAAGATCGCACACACTTGTGGAATATAAAGTAACAGAATGGGAGAGTAACACCCAAGAATAGTAGAGGTAAGTACCAGGGGGATTACTCCACAGTTTAGAAGCTGGCCTCACATGCAAGGGCACCTCAGATAGAGAAGGGACTACCAAGTAAAGGGTATTAGGAGGGCCCCCGCAGGATGGGAGATGTGGACTGAAAGTAGACGATAGACTGAACATGATGGCCACTTAATACCTCTACTGCAAATCACAACACCCAAAAGGAGAGAGCGAACAAAAGGGAATTCCCTACCACAGAGGCAGGGTAGGGTGGAGGGGACAGGTGGTGGGAGGGATGCTGGGACCATTGGTGGCGGAAAATGGGCACTGGTGGAGGGATGGATACTCGACCATTGTATGACTGAAATGCAGCCACAAAAGTTTGTAAGTCTGTAACTGTACCCCAAGGTGATTCACTAATAAAAAATTTTTAAAAAATTCACACCAAGATTTTATTTATGCAAAACAGCATTTTATCCTCAAAGTAAAGTTCTTATAGGGTGGGTTCAGAAAGAAAGGATGAGCTTCAGGTTTAAAATCAAAATTGTCATGGATATGAATCTTTATAGTAACTTGAAAGACTCTTAGCCTTTCTTTTCCTCTTTTTAAAAATAGACTTTTTTGGGCACTTTCAAATATACAATACAGTATTATTATCTTAGACATCATACTGTCCATTATGTCCCCATTACTTATTTTTTCACTGGAAGTTAGTACCTTCTGACTTCTTCATTCTGTTTGACATCACCCTCATCCACCCCTCTTGTCTTTTGAGCCTCAAGATCCTCCTTGATGAAAAAGAGAATAATGATGCATAACTTTCACAGTATTCTATTTTAAAGAATATTTCTTTGGGAAGAAAGGCAATATGCATGCAAACTCCCAGGCATGGTACCTGCTTAAAAATAAGCAGGTGGGGGGGCATAGAGGGCAGTTATTGTTAGCATTTCAATAAAGCTATTCAGCTTTAAAATAGAAAATGCCATTTTTTTTCTTTAAATGAGGATGGTGTTTGAAGTGTTTCTTAAGGACACTCTAAAATCTGTCACAGTGATGGAGTGATGATTTTCCACAGGTGGTCTGTACCAAATCATGGTCTTTTCTTTCAAGAAGACTTAGAGAAGTGTTTGAAACAAAATCATTAAATCAAAGGAGATGAAAACACTCAATTTCTCCAACCTCTATAGAGCCATTTTCTCAAAATCCACAGACCTCCTTCAGAATAGCTCATCCATCCGGTACAGAGAAGTAAAATGGGCTTCTGCGGTTCTTCCTAACTCCATTCTCAGGAAATAAGCCCTTATACTTCTCAGCTCTAAGACTACACCCCAATACTGTTTTTCTGAATGAATAAACATTCTCTTCATCCGTTTTATAAGTCAGTTCCCTAATATAAGTACAAAAGAGAAATTGGCAACCTGCTTGACTTCTCTTCCAAATTTCAAAGACCTTTGCAAAGTCTCAAGAAGTGTGGAAGATAAGACTTCTTTAGAAACTTCAAAGGGACATCCCCCTCTAATGAACAACACTCTGTGTCAAGGCTTGGGGAGTGGGCAGTGAGTAAGCTGTGTTTGATTCCCGGTTCTGATCACTGAATGTTCTGTAGGGAATATACATAATGGTCCTGTTCTGGGCTTGTCCTGTAACGGTCTTGTCCCCTCCATTTCTCTAAAGATCTGAGACTTACACCAGAACTTTGAAGAGATACAATAAACTTACTCAAAATGAGGTATAAATTACAAAATTCCAAGTTTTGAATGTTCTGAAGAATTACCATTTCAATTCGGGAAACAAAATGCCTGTATGATACTGTGGATTTCCCAGAAGAAAACAGGGACAAGAAATGCGAAATTCATTTGACTTCACAGACACAGTTTTTTAATATGTATAAATGAATAGATTTAAAATTTGGTCTGGGGGCCACACCTGATGGTATTTAGGAATTATTCCGGGCTCTGCACGCAGATCACTCATAAGGGTTTATAGGGGACATTTGTGGTACCAGAGATCAAACACAGGTTGACTGCCTGCAAGACCAGCACCTTACCTGCTGTTCTATTTCTCTAAACCTAAATGAAGAGATACTTTTCAGACCCTTCTTTTATGTATTTTGAACAGTAAAGGGGACCTTTCTATATCCTTAAATTCTATCACATTGAAAGTGCTTTTTATATTTAAAAGACTATATAAAAAGCACAGGTTTGTAGTTAGAAAGACATGCTTTAATATTCTGAGTTCACCGCTCATTAATCTTATAGTCTGTGCAAGCTGCTGAAACTCTTTGCATCTCTTTTGTCCCAGGTAAGGAAGGAGCAATGCTTAAGAAAAGAATAAGTGGGAAAAAGCTCTGACATTCTTAGGGTCTTTGCTGCCTGATAAATTCTTTTTCTTTTTTTCTTCATAAGGCTAGCTATGGGTTGGGGAGAGAGAGTAGAAGGTGTAAGGTGCTTGCCTTACATGTTGCCAGCCCTGGTTCAACCCCCCAGAACTGCCTATGGTCCCTTCAGGGGCACCACCAGAAGTTATCTGCACAACCTCTCTCTGACCACTCTACTCATCAAATAACCATTAACAAACTTCATTGAAGAACAAAAAGCAATATCCATTGCTATTTTAAGGAATTTAAATAATCACTGTATATATAATTTATAAATATATATACAATTTTAGAATTTATATATGTGTGCTTTGTGGATTTTCAAAGAGCAATCTTTAAAAATGGCTTGATTTCATATATAGCCCCATAATCACCTTGAGAAACATTAATTATGAATAAATTGTTGATTCTTTTATAAATAAAACAACCAATACTCTTTTTTACTTATGGTGACAGAAGAAGGAGAAACTAACTTTAAATTCCCTGAAAATTGACTCATTAATATTTATTTCTGCCAGCTTCAAAGTGATTTATAAGCTGTTTATCAAGCTTTGATAACCAGTTCACACATCAATGAATTTAACAAATTCAAAATAGATTACTGGGGAGCTGGCAAATAATGACTTTCTCACATTCCCAAAGCAATCTCTGAGATCTGGTACTTCTAAGCCTAATTCTACGTAAATATATATTCTTACTTTAAGAAACCCGGAGGTACTCAGTGTTTTGGACTTCTGTTAGATGAATTTCACCTGGGGGAAAAGGTCCCTAGTTTCCTAAGGAATTTGTAAGGATCTTTCATTTGGTGGACCATCAGAGAAACACAATCTGAGTTACTAAGAGGTATCATCATTTTATAATTTTTTCTGGGAATTGAGGATAAAAACAATTTTAATAAAACATTAGCAGAGAGTCTGCAAAGTAGAGAGATTAAAAGCACAGATTCTGCTGTTCAGACTAAGTTCCATATTTGTCTCTATCACTTTCTAACTGTGATTTGAGGCATTTGAATATTTAATCTCTCTTTTCTTCAGATTTCCTGTTGGGGAAATGAAGCAATAGCAATACGTATGTCAAAAATTCTTGTGGGAATAAAATGAGCTTTCATTTTATTGTATTTATTGTACAATACTTAATTGTACAATATATATTTATTGTATAATACTTAATGTATTGTACATAGTATACTTAATGTATTGTACATAGTAAGCAATTAAATACTGGTAATTACCAGATTTGATTATTTAAAAATACTTGATTTCCCTGGGGGTTAATACATCACCAGATGAAAATGTCTTTAAGTGGTCAAATAAAATAAAAAATTGTAAAGGTTTTACTTCCATAATAAAAATATGGGCATTTCAGAATGCACCATAGGTATCTATAATGTATTTTTAATACAAAATGCATTAATAACTAATTCATAAAAATTATTTCTTTATTTTAATCATTGAATGATTTTATTTCAAAACCATTCATATTATGAGTACATATATATCTGTGAAGTAATGTTTGTTACTAATTTAATTTAGCATTTATTAATATAATTTAATGTTTGATTAATTAAAGGGACAAGAACACATAATTTTGGTTACTTTGAATATTACAACATAAACATAGAGTAAATATTACTATGAAGTTCAGCTGGATATTTATTCTTAACAATTTTACAATCAAATAGGTCTTTCAGCTTAATTTACATATATTAATAAGGTAAAATTTTCTTTAAATATTTAATAGAATTCCCAAGAAGCCATCTGTTGGTGTACTTCTTTTTGTTGTAAGGCTTTCTTTCATTCCTAATTTAATCTTCTTTGCATTTTTAATTCTTTTTCTCATAATCAAATTCTGATAGGTTCTGTATGTCTAGGAATTTAGCTTTTTCAAGTTTTAATGGGGGTAAAGGATAGGCTTGAGGGCTGGTGTTGACTTAGGCTATTCCTGGTCTGTGGTCAGGAGTGATCCTTGGTGGGGGTTGGAGGATCCTGGTATTACTCAGGCTCAAAAATGATATGGCACAATGCCATGTGAGGTTGATGATGAGGGAATGTTTCATCCTTTACTACCCATTGGTTGTATTTTAGCATTGCTCAGTGGGGAAGAAGGCACTCAGCTATTTCTTTCAAGGGCAATTGCTCCATGATGATAGTTTATATTCATATTTCTACCAGAGGAGAATGCACAAGATTCCCCAGTGTTGCCATCTTTAAAATTATCACCACACTTTTTAAAGTCCGTAATGGACCAGAGTGTAAT